AGCTAGAAATAAACAGTAAGAAAAACTTTAGAGCATTCATTAACTTGTGAGACATAACATTTTACAGGATAATGATTGAGTCAATGAAAAATAGAGAAATAAATTTCTAGAATTTAATAAAATAAAATAACATACATAAATGTATGAAATAGAATTAAGGCATTCTTCATAGAGGGAAATTCATAGATTAATGCAATCAGATTTCACATAAATCATAATGCATATTGTAGCCATGGAAAAGAATAAGAACAAAACAAAAAAAAAGTCAATAGAAGCAAAGAATCATGATCAGGGCATGGAAGTGGGGAATAAAGGAACCAATTTGGCAGAGTAATTTGGAAAGATACACAAGCTCCATAAGTTCTTAGCCAGACTAACCAAAAAAGAGAAGACCCAAATTAACAAAATTAGAGGTAAAAAGGAAGATATTTTCATAGATGTCAGTGAAATTCAGAAAATGATTAGAACATTTTTAAAGCTTATATTCCATCAAATTGGAAACTGAAATGAATTTGTAGACAACACACCATAGATAATATTTTTAAAAAATAAGCAACCACAGAAACATAACTGGTTTATAAGAAACAATGAGAATGGTGCTGAAGAGATGGCTCAGTGAGAGTACTTGCTGCTCTCTTAGAGGACTCCATGTTCAGTTCCCAGAACCCACTTCAGGATCACCATCACCTGTAACTCCAGCTCCAGGAATCTGACACCCTCTGGCTTTTATGAGCATGAGATACACAGACTCATGCAAGCAAAAACATAATTTTTAATTTTTTTAGTAAAAGAAACTACTAGACAGTAAAAAAGACTTACCGTGCTCATAGACTAGAAGAATTAATGTGGGAAATGGCTTGTACACCAACAGCAATCTACAACTATAGTGCAAGCACCACCAAAGTTCCAACACTGTTTTACACAGAAATAAGAAAAAAACTTAAAATTCATATAGAAACACAAAAGACTCCAGACAGCCAAAGCAGTTCTGAGCTCAAAGAAAGTTTGATATGTCACACTATTCAAGTTGTACTGCAAAGCTGTAGTCAACAAACAAAAACACCCAGCACAAAACTAACACAAAAACAGACACACAGCTCAATGGAACATAATAGAGGATCCAGATATATACCCACTTAGATACAGCCACTTGATCTTTTTCAAAGAAAAGACTTTGCGTTGCTGTGAATCAGCCTCATCAACAATTGTTATTGGCAAATCTGGATAGCTACATGTGAAAGAATGAATGTAAATTTTTACAAAATTCAATTCCTTAAGACTGGAGATAGAGCTCAGTAGTTAAGAGCATGGCCGCCCTTTCAAAGGATTCGGATTCTATTTCCAGCACCCACATGGTAACTCAACACCATCTGTAATTCTGGTTCCAAAGGATCTCACAACTCTTCTGGTGTCTTTGGGCTCGTGGTGCACATTCAAAACTTCATGCACATAAAATAAAAAATGAAACCCCAAATTTAAAAAAAAAAAAAATCTTAATGTAAGACCTGAAACTAATACTAATAGAAGGAAACATGTCAGGATACTAGCATAGACAAGCACTTTCTGAATAAGACTCCAGTCACTCAGGAAATAGTAACAGTTAACAACCGGTATTTCATTAAATTCAAAAGCTTCCGCAAAGCAAAGGAAATAATTGAGTGAAGAGATAGCTTACAGAATGAGCTATGGTACCGATGCTACTATACATCAGACAAGATTATTTTCTAGAATATACAAAAAAATTAAAAACTAAACACTCAAAACAAAGCAATTCAGTCTACAAATGAGCTAATAAAATAAGACAGTGTTCAAAATACAAATTACAATTGGTCAATAAATGTATAGGGAAATATTTAACTTTATACCATCAGAAAAAATACAAATAAAAACTACATTGAGATTCCGTCTTATACCAGTCAGAATGGCAGTCACCAATAAAACAATACTAGCAATATACAGACAGAAGGGAATCCTTATATACTGCTGGTGTGAATGTCCAGCCATTGTGGAAATCAGTATGGAAGTCCCTCTAAATAAATAAAAATGAACCTATCATATGACAAAGCTATAAAAATCAATATTTACCCAAAGTACCCCAAGTCAACATATGTCAGAAATAGTAGTGTTTATTGCAGCACTATTCACATTACTCAAATATGGAGCCAACCTGGATATCCATCAACAAAGGAGTAGATAAAGAAAATGTGTTACACAACCATAAAAAAGAATGAAACCATGTTATTTGCAGGAAATTCAGTGCAACTGGTGGTGTGTTATTCAAATTAAATAGACAAATACTCTATGCTTTCATGTGTGGGCCCTAGACTTTATAAATACATAAAATAAGCGCCCTGGTACTAGTACAAAAGCAGATACAAAGACCAAAGGATAGACACAGAAATAAGCCACCTGATTTTCAACAAACATCACAAAAACATACACTGAACAAAAAGCAAATGGTTCTGAGAAAACCAGGTATTTACAGAAAAAATGAACCTAGATATTCCTCACCCTATGCAAAACTCAATTCAAAATGACTAGAGGTCCTTAATATAAGACTTGAAACTTTATTAAATAAAAAAATTAAATTAAAAAGAAGATACAACCAAAACTATCTGTCAAAAAAGAAAAAAAAAGACTTGAAGCTTTAAAACTGTTAAATGAAAATATTGGAAAAGTACTTCAAGATATAATCATAAGCCAGAATTTTGTGTAAAAGACTCCAATAGCTCAGTTGGAGTTCTTTACACATGAAAGTGGGAAGGGAACCAGAATGGAGAAAAGAAGAAGAAATGAGAAGATAATGGAGTATAAAAATAACATTGAATGCTTGCCCTCATGAAAAATACAAATGTGTGTGTGACCATACATACATCAGAAGGGAAACTTTTTAAGGAATGGACTAGACAGAGGAGTGATGGAGCACAAGAAAGGATCATGGGAAGACAATATAACCAAAGGATACTAAATATAGTTTATGAAAATGTCACAATGAGCTGGGCATGCTGGTACACACCTGTTGTAGATATTCTTTTAAGATGTGCTACATTTACTTGTGCTGTGGAACATTTGTTTAATGATGCAAAGATGTGTTGCATTCTTTATTTTGCATTTGTTTAACTCTGTGAAGCTGTGTTACTTTGTCTGAAACACCTGAATGGTCTAGTAAAGAGCTAAATGGTCAATAGCTAGGGAGGAGAAAGGGTAGGCATGGTTCAAAGGCAGAAAGAATAAATAAGCGAAGAAATCTGAGGTAAGGGAGAGGATCAAGAAGTGAAGGATGAGGACTGCAGGGACCATCCACCAAGTTACACAGCCAGCCACGGATTAAGAAGGAAGGAAAGGCATATAGAATAGACAAAGAGAGGAAAAAGGTAGATGAGATAATTTAAGAAAAACTGGCAAGAAACAAGCCAAGCTAAGAACAGGCATTCATAAGTAAGAATAAGCTTCTATGTGTATTTATCTGGGAGGCCCACCAAAGAGTAAAGAGAGTGTTTTAAAAAAAATACACACCTTTAATCCCAACGCTAGAGAGGCAGAGGCAGGTAGAGCTCAATGAGTTTGAGACAGCCTGATCTACAAATCAAGTTCCATTACAACTAGGGCTGTTACACAGAGAATCCCTATCTTGTAAAACAAAAAGAAGGAAATGTCACGATGGAACCTATTATGTTTAAAAATCAATTAAAATACCAAAAATAGTTGAGTAAAGGCATTTCAGAAAAATAAAAGCTTACACAGAAACAAGTTTTATTCTATCCTGTGTTATAACCTTTTTCCACTGGGTGGTGTGTTATACTAAAAATTAGTGTGAAATAGTCAATGTTTGGATAAACAGAAAAGAGAATTTCATTCTTTTTTTAAAAAAAATTACTTTGATGTTAGTGAAGTAGCCAGGTAATAGAGCACTTACACAGAATGAATGAGGACCTTCCTTCCCCAGCACAAAAACAAATATTAAACAAAAAGGAATACTATTATACATTATCAGTAGTAAAATGATAATCATGATGTTTAACATTATTTGATATCTAAACAGGACTCATACATGTTAGCCATATATTTTTGTTTTATTTTTTCCTGTAGTTTAGTTTTTCAGGCATGACATATATCATACATGTTTTTTTTTTCTTTTCCATTTCTTTTTAACCTTAAGTTTTTGCTGTTTATCCCAGTCTGAGGTGGAATTTAGAATACTTTTGCCTCTGCTTCCTGTTTGCTGAGGTTATTTGCATTTAAAAATACATGCAAATACAAAAGTACAAAACATAAATTATTAGGTTAAATATTAATGCTATTTGGGAAATACACTAATAGTATACTTATAGTTTATGTGTAACAATAATAATTAAATGATGGATTTGTAAAGACCTATACAAATATATGAAATTTTGTATTGAAACTTTTATTGCTGATATTTTTCTACTCTGATTCCTCTAAGGCAAACATGTTATTTTTAGAAGTTGGTTGGCTGGCTGGTTAGGTTGGGTTTTTATTTGTTTGTATTTTAAGGATATTACTGGGCTAAAAATGTATTCAGTGTTGAAGCACTTGCCTTATATGCACAAGACCTTGAGTTTTATCCACAACCTAGAGGAGGGGGATAGGAAAGGAAAGAAACCAAACATTATTGTCCTGTTCTGAAATCTGTTGCATCCCTATCTTGAAACCAGAACACGAATGCATCACAGTGCTAAAACTGAAGATTTCTGAGTTCTTTATTCTCTTCAGTCCCTGTCACTTTGAAAAGCAAGGATGATAGTATTAATCTATGGTCCCCATGCTGATGCAACATACATACAGTGGTAATACTTAAAAAGTAAATGTTAATATAGGTTTAGCCATACATTTCAGTGGTTTTTTTTTTTTAAAGAAAGGAAGGAAGGAAGGAAGGAAGAAAGAAAGAAAACTTGCAGACCCTAGGTTCAATCCCCAGAACTGGATAAGATTTAATGTAATATTCTAATAAAATGTTAATAATTAATGCATTTGTTTAGGTATGGTTTCATCACTTTTGAAACTCAAGAAGATGCACAAAAAATCTTACAAGAGGTAAGACTGTTCAGTGTATTTACTTCTGTTTTGAAATTTCTTTCTTTGTAACAAATCTTTTATGATAGTAAAATGGTAGAGTACAAGCCAGTGATCTACATATATATGTATATGTGTGTGTGTGTGTGTGTGTGTGTGTGTGTATACTTACATATACATTGGTGTGTTTGTATGTATCTTAAGGTTGCCATTGACCTCTAAGAATGACTCTGAAGAACAATATATTCCAATTCATTACATGAGGATGATTGTTAAGCTATAATGTATTTTATTTGCTTAAACTAGTAATTAAGAATGTATCTGTGTGACATATAAATGGTTTTTTGTAATTCCTAAGAAACACTACAAATGTAGATTACTAGAATAAGATTACCTGGTATTATTTCCTTCCTATGAAAACCTACATAAACCAGTAACATTTAGTAAAATGTCTATAGCCTGTAGTTCATTTTGATATTTTTAACTTATGGCAAGTATAATATTTAAACTTTTTTTAAAGGTAGTTTAATTATGTATTATTAAGATCATACACAGCCAGTTCTTATTCATAATAGTTTTTATTCCATAAAGTTAATATAAAACTGAATTAGTGAATACTGAACTTCTGGTGTTCCTAGTTGAAATACAAGGTAAGGTTTCAAAAAAACCTCTAGTCACAATATTGCCACCAATAAATCAACATATAACCTCATTTCATGTGTTGTTATTTAAAGAAATTGTGTTAGCAAAACTTTTTATTGCTTGTCACAAAGATCTGAGAGGCTACTTAAAAGATGGAAAGATTATTTCAGCTCATAGTCTCACAGGTCTCAGTTCATAGCTGGCTGGTTCTGTTGCTGTGGGCCTTAGGTAAGGTAGAACAATATGACAGTGGATGACTGAGGAAGAGATCTATGTTGAGCTATAGTTCTCAAGAATATGCATACTAGACTTGCTGCCTCCAACTAAGCCTTCCCCTTAAAAGTTCCATCATCTCTCATTAATGTTCTCAGATTATTAACCCAGCAGTATTCTGTTAAATCCAACCCCTTATCATCTGATCACCTCCTATGGGTAGATCTATCAGCTGATACAGAGCATTGAACACATGAACTATTTTGAGAAGGGATGGATACTTCATAGCCATAATAAACAACATATTTAACTATTGTTAATCATTGACAATGGATCCATGGCCAATGAGACTATAATACCTGAATTAAGGAGGTCAGTACATTTTCTCCATAAAATATATGACAACCTTCTTATGCTTAGGAACATTAGCTAGTACTTCAGCACCTGTGAGTCATTTTATTTTTAAAAAAATAAAATAGGACATAATGTGAAAAACATATCTAAAAAGGATATTTCATTATAATTGGATAGCTAGAACAAGAAAAAAACATCACTTTGATCTTAGCTGGGTTCTTTTGTGTTGGACTGTTCATATTTTCTGTACATGGCCACAAATAACCTTGAAATAACTAGAAATAGTGGTTGGAAATTACAAATAAATTTTAGAGAAAACCTGAATTTCAAATACCTAATCAGTAACTAATGATGATGATTACTACATCACTTAGATTCACAGCAGTAGAACCCAAATAAAGACAGTTACTTGAACCCAGACCATCTGTTGAGACTGGGCATGTAGCTCAGTAGGTAGCATACTTGATTCCCAATACTACATAAACCAGGCAATGTGGCATATGCTTGTAATCACAGCACTTGAGAGGTAGAGGCAAAAGGATCAGAAGTTCAAAGTTGTCTGATAATATATCAGATTTTAGCACAACCTGGGATTCATAAGACCTTGCATTTAAAAGAAGAAGAAGAATTAAAAATTGTCACACAATGTCTGCTAGTTTCATACTGGTTTTTCTTCACTGATATTATAAATAATGTATCAAAGTTTACAAATCATGGTGTCAAATAATTTTACAAATCATGATAATGGGATTTTTCCTTTATTTTAGGCTGAAAAACTTAATTATAAGGATAAGAAACTGAACATTGGTCCAGCAATAAGAAAACAACAAGTAGGGATTCCTCGTATGTATTAAGAACTAATGTATTTTTAATATTTGTATGGTCCTTTTATGAAATATTAGACTATTATAGACCTTTTATTAAAATATCCTGTTTCCTTGTGTAATAGTTGTTAGCAAAGTTGGTAGTCATATTATTTTTTAACAAATTAAAATAACTTAGTTTGAGGTATAGGGGAAACATACATGAACAATATTAAGTACAGTCTGTATAACTACAGTTTAAAGGAAAAATAACTATTTTTAATTAGCACAAATACTTTTTTATTGAAAATTCATACAGTATATTCTGATTATGGTTTACCCTCTCCCCCAATCCTCACCACCCACCCAACTTCATCCCTTATTTCTTTCTCTCTCTCTTTAGAAAACAAACAGGTAAATAAAAAGAAATGAAAAAGCACAAAAACACACAAACACACACAGAATCAAAACCTATTACTGCAGACACAAAATCTACAATATACAAGTAAAAGATAAGTAAGATTTTTAAAAGAAATGCTCGGATGGAGAAATATGAGGCCAAAAAACATCTACAAAACCATCGAATTCATTTTGTGTTGGCTATCTACTACTGGGCATGGGGCCTACTCCTTAGTGTGGTTTATATACCCAGGGAAATGCCATTGGAGAAAACAAAGTTTTCCTTTATAAGCAGTGTAAGCTGCTGATAGCTTCTTGGCTAAGGATGGGAGTTCATGTCCACTTCCTCACCTTAATGCTGGGACCCCATCTGGCTTGAACCTGTGCAGGCCCTGTGCATACCACTGTCTCTGTAACTCACATGTGGGTCAGTCCTATTGTGTCTAACACTGTTTCCTTGGTGTCAGTTCATCCCACCTGAATCTTTCGCCTCTTCCTCTTCATAGCTCCATGACCCCAGATGGCAGGGGACAGGGAGTTGATGATGACATCCCATTTAAGATGTTCCAAGAGTGTTTCCAAAGTCTGTCACTGTCTGTACATTGACTTGTTGTGGGTCTTCATGTTAGTTCCCATCTCCTGCAGTAGAAATGATCACTTCTCTGATGATGACTGAGCAAGGCACTGACCTACAGGTACAGGAGAATGTCATCAGGAGTCAGTTTATTGCTGTGCTTCTTTAGCAGAACAGTAGTATTTGGTTTTTCCCTAGGTTTGTGGCCTATCTAGTCACCACCCCAGCAGTGTCAGGCATATTTCCCTCTGGTGGAGTGGGCCTTCAGTCCAGTCTGGTAGTACTTGGTTACTCTCACATTTGTACTACCGTTGCACCAGTGTATCCTGCAGGCAGTTAACTGTTGTAGATTGCAAGGTTTGTAGATGGGTTAACAGGCTGAGTACTTGCCAGTACCACAAACACTAGTCAGTAGGGGTAAAGGCTCTACTTAGGCACCAGCTCAACTTTTGAGTGTTTAATAAGATATTTAAACAATAGGACCTTACCATAAATTTGTGGAGAGTAACCAATAGTCTTGGCAATAGCCTGGGTTGTTTGAAGGTTTCCATCAGTACCCCTTTGGTTAGATGTAACCCATTCCTGGGCCTGTAGGCTTTTATTACTTAGTCGCTAGAGATCTCTAGTTGGAAAATAATCACCACTTCTCATATTATTTGGTGACTTCAGTTTGATTTCTTGTATATATTTTAAGAAGATTCTACCATAGTAGACTTCCATATGACCCCTCAAATGGTCCTTAATATTAATTGTCCCTCTCCCATTTTCTCTTCCTTTCCCCATTCTTCCTTCCCCCTCTTCTTTTAATCTTCCCATTTCAGTCTCTCCTCATAACCCCATCTCTCCATAACTATTCTGTCTTCCTAGAGAATGCTCCTTTCCTCCCCTCATCTCTTATTCCATGATTAAACACATTGTAGTGTGCCAATTTAAAGTTTTAAAAGCTGACATCCACATGCAAGAAAATACATACTATGGCTTTTGGGGTTTGGGTTACATCACTCAGGATGATTTTTTCCTTCTAGCTCCATCCATTTACCTGCAAACTTCATGATTTTTTTTAACAGATAGATAATATCCCATTGTGTAATTGCACTGCATTCTCTTCATCCATTCATCTGTTGGTGAACAACTAGGCTGTTTCCAATTTGTGGCTATTACGAATAGAAAGTCAGTGAACATGGATGAACAGTTGTCTTTGTAGTAGGATATAGAGCCCTTTGAATATATGACCAAGAGTGATACATGGATCTTGAGATGGATCTATCCCAGCTTTCTGAGGAATCACCACACTGATTTCTTGTACAAGTCTGCACTCCCAGGAGCAGTGGATGACTGTTATTCCGCAACCTCACAGCATGAGCTATCATTTATTCATTTTAGCCATTCTTATGTCTGTAGAATGAAATCTCAAAGTCATTTTGATTTGTATTTCTCCGATAACTAAAGATGTTAAATGTTTCTTTAGGTGTTTCTCAGCCATTTGAGATTCCTCTATTGAGTACTCTATTTAGTTCTGTACTGCATATTTTAGTTGGGTGTTTTCTTGGTGTCCAGTTTTTTTGTTGTTGTTCTTTATATATTTTAGATTTTAACTCTGTATGTCAGTGGTTCTTAATCTGTTAATGACCTTTCACATGTCTCATATTAAATATCCTGCATATCAGATATTTATATTACAATTCATAACAGTAGCAAAATTGGTTATGAAGTAACAACAAAAATAATTGTATGTTTGGGGGTCACCACAATATGAGTAACTGTATTAAAGGGTCACAGCATTAGGAAGGTTAAGAAGCGCTGCTCTATATGATAGCTTTTTCAAACATTATTTGTATTGTATTGTATCTGAACCCTGTTTCTCCAGTATCTCCCTGTCCTCTATCCATCCTTCACCCCAAGTAGTTTTTTATCTATTGTAATATCATGGGTTCCTGTTCCTCAACTCTCAGCACCTCATTTTCCCTTCTCACAGACCTCTTTTTGTTTATATGACCTAGACACACAGACACACACACACACACAAAACATTTAAAGCTGGGATAAGCATATGAGAGAGGACAAGTGTTATTTGTCTGGTTTATCTTACTTAGTGTAGTACTTTCCAGATTCATTCCTTTTCCTGAAATTTTCATAATTTCCTTTTTCTTTACAGCTAAATAAAATTTTTTGTGTATATATATATCCACATTTTCATTATCCAGTCATCTGTTGATGAACTTCTAAGAAGATTCCATTTCCTTGCTGTTATAAATAGAATAGCAGTAAAGACCCAGATATTTCACCCTTGGATATACATTCAAAGGAAATTTTTATAATGAAAGTATCACTTAAAATAGTTAAAGAAATTTATAATTATAATTAAAACAGTTTAGATTATTATAGTATTTTAAATTAACCAAAGTACAGAACTAAACACAAAAAAAGAGACTGCATGAAGTTTTTTAATCAAACGACATGTGTTCTAATTATCAGAGAAGACAATCACTAAATCTTTGGGATTAGATAACCTGTGTGGATGCCTTCATCAAATTTTGGTAATCCTTTGACTCTTTTTTTCTACTTTCAACTTATATTAAGCACCTCTGTAATTTTGTTTATTAAAGAAAAAATTTGCATAAAATTGTTACTAATTTTATTTTTCCTTAGCCAAATCATATGTCTATTGGGATGATAAAACATTAGGCTGTTATATCACTGTCAACAAATTTATAAAGTGTATTAATTTGAAGTGTTCTGTTGACAGCAGTTAACAAATACTTTAACTCAGAATTTATTAATGTAGTTATAAAAATGTATTGTGAGATGCAAAGTTGTCTTTGTCAGGAAAGTGCTTGCCACAAGAATGAGGACTTTAATTGGATCCCTTAAAATCCATGTAAAAAGCAGGGAATGGCAATGTCTGCCAAAATTGCTGAGGAGACATACCAAAAGATCCAGGGAGCTTGCTGACCAGCAAATCAGTGAGCTCCATGTTTGTGAAAGACCCTGTCTCTAAAAATAAAATGGAAAGTGATTGAAGAAGGTACTTGGCATCACCTTTGGTCTCTATATGCAAGTTCATAAATATTCAGACACACAGAGAGGAGAAACAGAAATGGATTGTTCAAGTATATCGGAATTCTAATTATTTTTGGGATATTGTTTGTTGTAAGAGTTCAACTGTAGGGACTGGAGAGATGGCTCAGAGGTTAAGAGCACTGGCTGTTCTTCCAGAGGTCCTGAGTTCAATCCCCAGCACCCAAGTGGTGGCCCACAACCATCTGTAATGAAATCGGGTGCCCTCTCCTGGCCTGCAGGGATACATGCAAGAGTAACAATGTATACTAATAAATAAATAATTTTTTAAAAAAAGAGTTCAACTGTAATAAATGTATCAACAGTTCTTTGGCCCATTGTCTCACTGGTTGTTTTCAAATATTCAAATAGTTCATTCAGAAGTATTGAGCAAAAGAACCAAAGTTATAGTTTTTCATTTTTTCATGAAATAGCAACTTGGGTAGTGCTAGCTCTGTTTTTATAATACACATATCCACCTTAGGAAGGGAAAGTCATTTTAAAACCATTTAGCTGCATCTATGAGTGCTCAGAAATATGGTCTATTAAAGAAGACCTGAATAATGAAATAACTATTTGCCATTTCTGCTGAAATACTCTTAGTAATAGACAAGGCTGACTTTGGCCAGTTGTGGATGTTAATCCATTGTACACTGGAATTCCATATTTTCTTAGAAATATTACTTTATGTACAACTTCCATGAACAGTTTTCGTTGTTTCTTAGTATGAATTGTTTGCTTATTTGAAGATAAACTTTTCCAAAAAAAATAAAAATTATTTGAATTAATCTGCCTATGTGAGAAGATCACCATGTTTAGCCTATACCTTGTCTCCAGATATAACACCCCATATTCTAATGTGACACGTACAGGATTAATTTGCCCAAATGGTAAATTCCAAGACTTCTAGACTCTAAATTTCTCTGCAAATAAAAATTAATAATAAGTAATAAGTACTGCAATTATAAGAGATTCATATCTTGGTTTTTCTCAAATTTCTTTTTTGCTTCATTACCAGCCTTTTATTCCCAAAAGTCATCTACTTGCTTTCATTACTGGGTAACTCTCCTAATGGCTCCTTCTATATGCAGCCTGCTGCTGCTGCTTAATCACTCATAAAACAACCAAAACAATATTTAAAAAGCAAACATCAGCCTACATCATCTTATTCACAGCTTATTTTTAACTATTCATCCTCTTTCTTTTTGTGCCAGTACCAAAAGCCTTCTCAATCACAGACCATGCCATACTTCTCAAGACTGTATGTACTACTCTTTCCTTTGCCTCGAGTACTCTGACATCTCATTCTTTTTTTGAAACCCAGCATAGATACCATTCTTCACAGATGCTCCATAGATGGAAGAAGAAGATTAATTTTATGTATCTGCGTGTAAAGTAATGTAAATGTCCAACATAGTACCATATTCTACCTAATATTCTGCTCTATACTAGTTTTTCGTATATTTGTCAAAACTGTTATTAAGGACACTAGAGAGATGGCTCTGCAGTTAAGAGCAGAACTCTCCCTGAGAACATGAGCTTGATTCTCAGCATTACATCAGATGACTGTTTGTAGCTCAAGCTCCAGAAAGACCGAACGCCTCTAGCTTTCATGAAAACTGCACTGGTGCACATATCCGCACAGAGATTATACACATAATTTTAAAACTTTTAAACCTCAAAAGTTATTTATTTAACTAGCTAATTAATCATGTAATTATGTAATGACTATCTCATGTATCAGAACCAAACTTCAATGGTGAACATGTCCTGTCTAGTTTTTCAATTTTTTTTCCTTTATACCATTCCTAGCTCAATGTTATTTTATAATATGCACTAAAAATTTATTGACTTACTTAACAGATGAACTATAAACTTCTTGAATTGTATATAAGATTTAGCCATATATACTAATAAATGTTCATTTATTTCATCAGATGTATTTCTTTATGTAGATAACCTACCAAAATTAAAACAAGAGGAAATAAAGCTTTTAGACAGAACCATAGTCCCTAGTAAAATCAAAGCAGTAATTTAAAATCTCCCAACCAAAAACAGACAAGGCCAGAGTCAGATGGATGTAGTGCATAATGCTACCAGACCTTCAAAGAATAACTAGTCCTTAAATTATTCCACAAAGTAGAAACTGAAGGAACATATCCCAATTCTTTTTCCAAGGCCACAATTACCCTGATACCTAAAACAACAACAACAAAACAATTACAGACCAACATCGCTTATGAACATAGATATAAAAAAATTCTCAATGAAGTACTTGTAAACTGAATTCAAGAACACATCAAAAAGACTATCCACCATGATAAAGTAGCCTTCATCCCAGAGATACAGGATATGTATTCATATACAATATATGTGAATCAGTAAATGCAATCTACCATATAAATAGACTGAAAAACAAAACCACATGATCATCTCATTAGGTGCAGAAAATGCCCTTGACAAAATCCAACATCCCTTCATGATAAAAATTCTGAAGAAACTTGTGATATAAGGAACATACCTCAACATACAAAGGCAATTTATAGCAAGCCCACAGCCAACATCAACCAAAACAGAGCGAAACTCAAAAAAAAGTTAGGAAGAAGACAAGGATGTCACTTTTTCCATACCTATTCCAGTATAGAAATTGAAGTTTTAGCCAGAGCAATAAGACAACTGAAGGATATCAAAGGGATACAATTAGAAAATGATATTCTCAAAAGTGGTTTTTAAAAACCACTAACAATGGAGCTAACAAAATAGCACTTACCACCTAGTTTGACTGTCAATCCCTAAAGTGCACATGAAAGAGAGTGAGAACTGACCTCCATACACACATATGCATTAATTATTTACATTTATGTGTGTGAATTAAAACTAAATAGTAGTGATACTAGATCAAACACTACAAAATCATAAAAGCCAAAACAGTGCTATTTAAGCAGAAAGTATCAGTTCAAATGTGAGCTCAAAATGCAAATTTATAGTCCTTATTTTAGGCTTACTAAATTAAAGTCTCTGGAGATGGGTTTCTAGAGTTGATATTAATTAAACTAGGCAAATCTAATGTATGTTGAAGTTTAAGAAGTACTGGCATAATGGGAGGGGATATGGTTGGTTGGTTTAGCATTTTACTTTTTGGCTTTTTTTGAGGGGGTCTGCCACCCAGCATTCACAAATCACACATGGAGTCTTATTATTTATGAATGCCTGGCCTTAGCTGGGCTTGTTGTTAGCCAGCTTTTTTATCTTAAATTATCCTGTTTACCTTTTATCTTTCTTTCATGTGTCTTATTTTCCTTCTTGCTGGGCGGCTGGCTATTGATGTCCTCATTTCTTTGTTCTCTTACTCCTCCCCTTTCTCATTTCTCCTATTTATTCTTTCTCTCTGCTAGTCTCACCTGTCCTTGCTCCTGCCTCGCTAATGACCATACAGCTATTTATTAGGACCACTGGTGTTTTAGACAGCCACAGTAACATAGCTTCACAGAGTTAAACAAATGCAACATAACAAAAGTCACACACCTATAAATAATATTCTACCAAGTAGTCAGTGGGCAAATAGTGTAATTTAGGTCATAAGATATACACACTGTCTACATAGCATGTGTGTGTTTATATTTGCATGTGTACACACAGATGATTGTGTGTGTGGATATTAGAAGTTGAACTAGAATATCCCTCCTATTGCTCTCCATCTCATTTTTTGAGATAAACGTGTCTCACTAAACCTGGTACTCACTGATTGGCTAGACTGGCCATCCAGAAAGCTCTGGCCATCTGCCTGTCCCCATTCCTTCCCCACCCACCCCTCAGGACTAGGGTTACAGATGTATATTGCCATAAATGGCTTTGTATATGGATGCTAGGTATCCAAACTCAAGCCCCGGGTCATCATGATTATGCTTCCCTGGCCTTTATGTATAAAGTCTCAATGACAATATGCAATATGAGAGATTGTGTGTGTGTGTGTGTGTGTGTGTGTGTGTGTGTGTGTGTGTGTGTGTGTGTGTGTGTGTGTATTGTAAATCCTGAACTAAAAAGACAGGAGGAGATCCTAAACTAGCTGCATTAAAGAGTATAGTTACAATGACAGAAATTACAGCCAAAAGGAAAGTAGAGATAAAAGAGAGTCATAACATGAATAAATGCTGCTGATAATAAACCCAAGGAATTAGTAAAATGGATCCAGGTGCCTGTAGGAAAATAGAATCTTCTCCAACTTCACTATCTCCATCATGTTTGAACTTTTATAAATAGGTCCAGTCAAGATCTCAGGAACTCTACTATAGGGTCTGCAGTTTTCAGGTTCTCTACATAATTTATATTTCTAAAAATAATAGTTACTAATAATTAAATTGTTTCATTAAACTGAATTGGAGGATTTTTAATATTTACCTTGTTTAATGCTTAATCCATATAATCTGAGATATTAAGTTTAAAATGGATTGTTCAGAGATATTTTAATACATAGAACTTTAAATATTTTAGTTTTAATGTACTATGAAGAAATCTTATGGAATGTTTTCATAAACTACATGTTTATAAAATTAAATGAAACACTTCCATTTTTATATTTTATCCTTTGCTTTAGGTTCCAGTATAATGCCTGCTGCTGGAACAATGTATCTGACCACTTCAACTGGATATCCTTATACTTACCATAATGGTGTTGCTTATTTTCATACTCCAGAAGTAACTTCTGTCCCACCATCTTGGCCTGTAAGTAATTTTCGTTTTACAAGAGTTTCTACCAAATATTTTTTTAAGATTCATTTTTATTATTATATAGTTGATGAATTTTTTTACTTTCCCTCATTTACTGTCTGTGTCAACCAATGAATGTGGAGGTCAGAGTACAATTTGCAAGAGTTGATTCTCTTCTTCCACAATATTGGGATCCTTTATCCATTAAGTCATCTCACTGGCCCTGATCCTGAAACATTAAAGCACAGATAAATATAACTATAGCTCCATCCCTACTACCCAGTTTTAACAAATATTAATACTTTTCCTATTAATTTTAGTTCTTTTGAAAGAGGAAATAAAATATGATAAATTAAGGTAGTTTCCTTATTTCCATATCTTTTATCTGTTCTTCAAAGTGTCTTCTTCATTCTGTATATTCTTATTACAAATACATGTTTCACTAATATAGGGAACTCCTTGGGTAGTTTTTAAACACTGTATAATTTGGATTTTAACTTAAATATTATATTTTTGAAGATTAAACTATTGACCCTTGTTGATAATACTGTTTTAACCCTTAGAGGCTAGAGAGATGGCTCAGTGATTGCTCTTCCAGAGGATCAGGGTTCAATTCCCAGTACCTACATTTCATAGCAGTCTGAAATTCCAATTCCAGGGGACCCAACATCCATGGCAAAACAACAATACACATAAAATTAAAATTAGCAAAACTATTTTAACCCTTATATATTTGTTCACTTATTTTAATATAATATTCTATTTTTGCTATACTATCATCCTTATATTCCTGTAGTCATAGACATTTTTATCTTTTCTACTATCAAAGCTATCCATATAACTAGATCTTGTATTACATAAGCTCTTATAGTGCCACATTTTCATTATGCACTTGTCAGCTGAAGGCCATTTAGATTGTTTCCTCTTCCTAGCTATGGTGAAGAGAGTAGCACTGAACATGACTGAGCAAGTTATCTGTGAAGTAGGATGTTGAGTCCTTTGGACATAAGACAGTGAATGGTTATAGCTGAGTCATATGATAGATTTATTTTTAGCTTTTTGAGAATTCTTCACACTGATTTCTATAGTAGCTGCATGACGTCGCAATCCCACCAACAGTGAACAAGGATTCCCTTTTTCTCATATCCCTTCCAGCATCTGTTATAGGTCATTTTGTTGTTCCTTGCCATACTGAGGTAAGATAAAATCTCAGAGTTGTTTTGATTGGCATTTTTGTCATTAGTAGGGATAATGTATTGGTGTTTAATAAGGATCAAGAGAAACAAATAGGCTGAACAGATGTTTATTCAAGGAAAAATAACTCACAACATAGGCAGATGAAAACCAGCAGGTTCCTGGTCCCAAGGATGCCTCCGGATGCTCTTCTGTCCTCGTGCTGCAAGCAAGAGAGTTCTCCAAGCCCTCTCCTCAGACTTAGTTCCCCCAGGTAACATCCGGCCCTGTCACCACCCCAATGGGCGTGGTCTATGCCACAGGTGCAGACAAAGTGAAAATCTCACTACAATTCCCCTTTTAGTCTAAAGAAAAGATTTGGGCTTGATACAAAAACTATATACAAAACAGTGAATATCAAGTGTGCTCTAAGAAAAGGAAAATCGAGAACATGCAAACTCAAGACCTAGCTATCTAGTCCTAGGGTGAAGTCAAAACAGGGTTTACAATAGAGATGTCCTAAGCTGGAAAGCTGAAGTCTAGTACCTAATATATATAACTAGGAAGAGAATAATAGTTGTGATAATTTAATCTTCAACCTCATCAAAGACCTGAGAAGGAAAATAACAATACTAGTGTAGGCAGGAAGTGCAGATGGGCAACTTCCAAATGGCGCAGCAAGGACAGAAACAGCATGCTACCTGGACAGTCACCCAAGGTCTCACAGCAATGTTGGTACAGCCAGTTTTGGCTAAGGCCTAGAATACCTGACAGACCACAACAAAAGCAGGGAGGTAAAAGGGCTGTCTTACCCCGACTTGGCAGAGTTCAGCAGTCTTCTATGTTTGTCTCCTGCAATCACATAGGACTGCATGTCCAAATCAGTGGTCGAAGTGGGATCAGTTCTTTGCCCAAGAGGCCATATCTAAATCAAGGATGGACTCCAGAAGGAGCAACTCCAGAAGGTGCATGGTGCTGTCAGGAGCAATAGTGTCTCATGTTAATGGAGTACTAATATTAAAACATTTAAATGCCATGTTCTTCAGGTCTATAAAGTGTTTGAAGATTTAGCATCTATGTCTGAATAATCTCATATGTATAGGAAACATGGGTGTAGATAATCTGTAATACTCAGGAATTTAGCTATAACACTGATTGAAACTTCCCTGAGCAAAGCAGGGACAAATACCTAAGCAATATAACTATGTACATATATATGCATGTAAATCCCTAAAGCAGAGGTAAAGTAGAAATGTCTAGACCAGAGGTAGAACTATAAAATGCAGCATGATAAAAATATCCTAAATTGTATTAATATAAAAAATGTCTTGAACATAAGTAAAAGTATACATACATAGAATATGGTAAGGATATTGTACAAAAACATCATAACTGGAGAGATTTTTACATTATGACAAAATATACAAATTATATACAATTCTGGGTAGGGAATAAACTTAATTTTATATATGTTACCACATATAAGAATCTATAACAATGTAAGCTGTATAATACTAATATCTCACTATTACTAAAATAATTCACAAGAAGATAAGCTAATCTACCCATATCCCGTCTAAACCACACCTTTCCCAACCATACCCTATCCCTGTCTAAAACAGATACCTGAGTCTAAGCATTACCTTCATGCCCAACCCTAAGACGATGAATATTATCCCTAAATGCCAAGAGTAGGGAAAGGGGGTGTTGTTGTCTTAAGATTACTTCCTGCTGAACTGGGACGATGATTGCTCCATGGGATCCTGTAGGAAGAAAATTTTTAGCAACAAAATTTCAACAGGACTGGCTGTGACATATGTAGCTAGTCAGTGTGTGGCAGGAAATGCTTGACTGGAGTTCTGTCTAAAATTCTGGCAGGATGTAATAAGAAGGTGCACCATTACAGCTAGCTAGTCAGGAGTTGTTTTGAGCAAAACAGTCTCAAACTGTTTTTGGGGTTTTTAGGGTGATGTTTGTAGTCCAGATGCATCAGGTTGAGTCAAGTGGAAATGACGAAGTGGGGCCCCATCTTTTTTCCAGAGAGTTCTAAGATTACTGTTAGGAATTGTTATTATTCCTTGTGAAAAACTTAAACATCAATATCAAAAGTAAAATTTTCAAGTTTTAAGGTATGCATATAGGGAAAGGCAACAATAAGCATTAAAATGTGCATGAGAAAATTAGGATTTCAGAGAGAAAAATTGCATATAAGCAAATGAGTCTCCAGATTTTGTTTTCTTCTGCCTTACACCAAATGGCTTTTTGATATAAGGTGGAAACTGTGAATTTAATCTTAACAACACTCTTGAATTTAGAGAAGGAAAGCCAAATCCAACTACAAAGCCAGCATTGGTTTACATGAATTGGGACTAGAGGAATACTAGATAGTAAACTTCTGACACCAAGATAGTACAGAAAAATAGATTTCTGTATAGAAATAGTTTACTAGAATTAAATATTTTTACCATAATTCCTCTTCATTAAATGATTCTTTCTGGAGAGTTGTCTTCTCTACTGTAGGTACCTACATGTTCAGTGTCTCTTGACTGTTTGAAGATGGGTGTTCTCTTTTCCTGTAAGGACAAGAACAGAACACTTGCCCTACCTTTGAGAGGTCTCTGCACATCTCATAAGATGCAATTTGTTGGATGACTTGTCATTTCTCTTCATTAAGATGTTTCTCTTGTTCAGCGCGGATCTTGATCAACTTAGATGGTATCCATAGCTTTTCTTATCCTGATGATACAAATGCAAAACCCCTACCCCAACGTAACACATATCCTGGTTTCCATACTGAGGTCAATACATCCTTGAAGTATACTGGCTGATTTAGTTCAGAAGTTTTTTTTCTATTGTCCAGTGTCTTTCTGCAGCTGTTTTTCCTTTTTTATTAGCATTAAGAAAGTTTAATGTGTTAATAAAGCATTATGTAATCTGTGTTTGGGTGCCTTGGTTCCTCCTGCCTGTTTTTGGAGTATTTCCTTTAAAGTACGATTGGATCTCTCAATTACTGCTTGTCCTGTAGGATTGTGTGGTATACCAATTATGTGTTTTATGTTATAATACTCAAAAAACTGTTACAATTTGCTGGAAACATCGGAGCATTGTCAGTTATTATTTGTGCAGGTATGCCCATAATGGCCATTACCTCTAATAGGTGTGTGATAACAGAATCAGCCTTTTCAGAGCTCAGAGCAGTGACCCATTGAAACCCTGAAAATGTATCTATAGTGAGGTGCACATATTTTAATTTTCCAAATTCTGCAAAGTGAAACACATCCATTTGCCATATTTCATTCCTATTTATACCTTTAGGGTTACTGCCTGGTAGTAAAGGAGTTTGGTTATAGAATGAGCAAATAGGACATTTCCCTATAATTTCTTTAGCTTGTTGTCAAGTGATAGAAAACACCTTTTTTAAACCTTTGCTGTTCATGTGGTGTTTCTTATGAAACTCCAAGGCTTCTAGCACACTTCTTATTAATAACTGATCAATTTCATAATTGCCTTGTGCTAGGGGACCTGGCAGACCCGGATGGGATCTGATGTGTGATATATATATATATAATGAGTTCTATTTCTGATAGTATCTTTTAACTGTATAAACAGTGAAGTTAATTCTGTATCATCTGGAATAAATTTTGCAGTCTCAATGTGTATGACCATTCTCTCTGCATATTGAGAGTCAGTAACTATATTGGGGGGGTTCTATAAAATCCATAAATACCATGAGAATGGCATATATTTCTGCCTTTTGTACAGAATTGTAAGGGCTTTAAACTACTTTACTTATTTTTCTGTTTTATATCCTGCCTTACCAGATTTGTTTGCATCAGTGTAGA